TTCTCTGTAAACATAATGAAGTAAACATATTTAATGAATTAACCAGAGATCTAGTTTGATTGAAGACTGCCCCATCATAGTTTTAAAAACAGAATATTGTATATGGTGAGAAGAAAAAGCAAAATAATTTTGCTTGTACAGATTCTGAAATGTTGGTAAATACACTTTCACCCTTGAAAACTGAAATAGAGTGACTTTTTATTGCTATGGAAACCTTTGGTACATAGTATAATAAGAAAATGTTAACGGATGAATGTTGTATAGAACAATGCTGGTTGATTATGGTTAGTGCTCTCTCTCAGACATGTTTTTGAGTTTGCTGTTGGGGTTACCTACATTTCTTCCTCCGCGTACTCTTTAATGGAACATAATGTTCCTATATACAATCCTTAATCTGCCATTTTAAAAATATTATTGTGACTGGGCTTCTGGTTTCTGGTATAATCATAATTACCTCACTATTCAAAACCTCTGAAATTTCCATAGAAAGCCATGATAACATCAAGATAACAACACATAATCATGCAAATGACAAAATATTGTGATTACATCACAGTGTTTGATGTAACTATCCAAATTATATCATTTGCATGATGGAAGTGCTGTCATTTGCTGTCCCTGTCTTCCCATCGGTACGCATTTCCCTGGCAATGAATTATAATATGTTTTTTTTCAAATTGCAGATTTTAAAACTGAAAAGTAGGCATTTCTGAATTGTTCTAACCATGTTTGTTCAAATACTGCATTCTAGAGAAACTATTTGTTATAAAATCATAGGTTTGCAAGGGAACATAAAATCAAATCCAACCCACACTCAATTCAGAAATATTTGAATTAAGCATCTCTGATAGTCTTTCTAAAATTTGGCCTGAAAAGACCCTCCCCCACTTCTCCCAAAGATGCAGGACAGATTTAATTTAAATTACAAATTGGGAGATTTTCCCAAAGGTGCTTTTTCAGAAGGCAATTGGACTTTCTTGCTTTTCTTTAAAGACATTTTGCTTCTCATCCAAGAAGCTTCTTCAGCTTAAAAATACTTTTTAAATTTTCTTCCTTAATCATATCCCTTGCATTCATACCCAAACTTTGTAGTCTTGCCTGGTTCTAAAATTCTCAGTTTATTTATCTTCTTTTTTCTTTATAGAGAAATCTTCTAGAGTTTGTTCACTTCTATCTCATTTCATGTCGTATTACCAGTAACGAGTAGGACAGAGTACAGTTAGCAGTCTTGTTCACATCTGTATTTTTTTAAAGTTAGGTTCATTTTTATGAAATGTCCTTTTCCAATTTAGATTTAAGTTAATGGATTGGATTTTAATTTTAAATATGATTTCTTTCACAAGTTAGTCTGCTCCACATTGCATGTGTTTTAGGGCTAAATTAGGAGATTTATCCCAATGTTTATCCAAAATCTCTTTTTTAACCTTCTGCTCTTTAGTTCAACTCCTCTTTGGAGCAATGGAGAGAAAGTTGTGGTTGAAAGTGTTGGTTCAGTGGATACAAGATCTTTCTACCATACCAGTTGACCTTTAGGCAGTGTTTTAGGACTAGAGACATCTGGAATCTTGAAGAAATGTTGCAGGCAATCTCACAAAATGGGGAAGAGCTATCCTGTTTATAAAATGGCTGCCATAAGAAGTTGCTCCCGTTACAAAATACAGCTTACCCTAAAAACTACTTGGAAAATTGCTTCTAAGCCAGAGGATCTTTGTCTGCATATAACAGAATGGAGGAAGGGATTAGGGGGAAGTACAATCTGCCTGAACTTTCTGGAACTCTAAGCAGATCTCCTGTCATTTTTAAAAATTATGCTAATGCCTGGCACATTGTCATTTTAAAAATAACAATGGTCCCCTTGGAGTTTTTAAAATAATTTGCCTGGCGGTTTGCTGCATTATGAAAACTGTACCCAAAAATTCTGACATCTTTCTAGTGTCGAAGGGAGTCAGGGGGAAGGACATAAATGGTCCTTACAAGCAAAACACTTTGCCTTCTGAAACTGCAGCTTTCTTCTGTGCCATTTCCTGTGGATATTTCTGAAAGCCGTGTGAACAAGCTTTGCTGAAATTGAGTTTTTCCCCCCTGAAATGCAAGTTCCCTCTTTCTCCATCCTGAAGGGTGGCTTAAATTCTTACAGAAGCCCCAGGCAAAGAAAGCAAAAATAAATAAATAACATACTGTGAATTAGCCGAAGAGAAAGAGAACCAACAGGGAGCAGATAGACGGACTGCAGCCTATCAGCGTCAAAGCCATTTTTTTGCCCCTGGAGCTGGTACAAAATAACATCTTATGTAGTGTGACTGATTGAAAACAAAACAAAAAAAAAAAGAGTGATGGAGAAAGGAATCTGTAAGTTGACACCTGCTGACAAGTTTAGGGTTACAACCTGGCACCTCTACAGAAAAACAGAGAGCCTGACCAAACAGCCAGACCTGAGCCTCTGCCCCAGTTATGCGTGAAAAGTCATAGAACATGTAACAAAGAACATAGAATAATAAGGCTGGAAGGGATCTTGGAGATCTTCTAGTCCAGCCCCCTGCTCAAGACAGGAGACCTTATATCATCACACTCAAATGGTTATCCAGTCTATTTTGGAAACCTCCAGTGATGGAGCAGCCACAACTCTAGGAGGCAAGCTATTCCAGTGATTAATGGTTCATACTGAGAAAATTTCTCCTTCCTTCTAGGATGGGTCTCTCTTTAACAAGCTTCCACCCATTATTTCTTGTCCTGCCCTCTGGTGCTTTGGAGAATAAGTCAATCCCCCTTCTCTGTGACAGTACTGGAAGACAATTATCATGCCCCGCTCCCAATCCTTCTCTAAACATACCTAGTTCCCTTAGCCGTTCATCATATAATTTAGCCTCCAAACCCTTTATCTTCTTTGTTGCTCTTCTCTGCACACTTTCAATTTTGTTTCATATAGTATCAACCTTGTGAACTCTCAAGCTTCCTTTTAGCGCTATGTATTCAAAATGGACAATGATTTATATATATGTATGTATGTATGTATGTATGTATGTATGTATGTATGTAATAGCATGTGTATATGGGTATGGGTAGATATATACTTTCTTTTGAGAGCAGGCAACAGAAATTTCATTTTTAATGTGTGCCAGTGTGCCCACAGTAAAAAATGATAATAAAAGTTATCCTGCCATGCCATGCCATCCCATCCAGTGGTGCTATTCAGCCAGTTCTATCCGGTTTGGGCAAACTGGTAGCGGCGACTGTGGGAGGCTCCGCCCACCCGCCCGGACATCATTTGCGAACTGGTAGCGAAGGTAAGTGAATACCACCACTGATCCCATCCCATCCCATCCCATATTATCTTTCTAGGATTTCATCATCTTTTTTATATCATGATGACCAGAATGGGACATGGTATTCCAAGTGTGGCCTCATTAGTGCAATATAAAGCGGCATTATCATTTCTTGTGATCTTGATGTTATCCCTCTGTTGGTGCAGCCCAGGACTGAATTGGCTTTTTTGGCAGCTGCAGCACATTGCTGTCTCATACTTAAGTGGTGGCTCACTAGGAGCCCTAGATCTCTCTCACAGTTACTACTGTTAAACCAGGTACCACCTGGTTCTGTACCTATGCATTTGGTTGTTCCTGCCTAAGTGTAGGACCTTATTTTTCTCCACTGAACTGCATCTTGTTGGAGAGGGCTTAGTGCTCAAGTTTGTCAAGATCCTTCTCAATCTTGAGTCTATCTTCCAAAGTGTTAGCAGTTTCCCCCAGCTTGTGTGAAAAGCCTGGTCCCTAAAAGGTAGGGCTCCTTTACTTAAAACAGGAGAACAAGATATTGGCAATTTGAAATGATTTAGCATGTTGCTAAGCAGCAAACTCTTATCTATCCATACAAAAATAAATAATAATACAAAGTAGAGTGCCTTTAAAAAAAAGAAAACATGCACTTTGCAGAGTCACCTTTTAAAATACAGGAGACACAATATATTTTATTTATGGATAAAGAACTGTGGAGTTTGAATCTATCCTTGAAGAAAATAATTTTAGTTTAATAGCCTGGGTGTGGAATAGGTCACTGTAGATGCTACAAAATGCATCTTAAGATTCACAGTGAATATAAGCTGCCTTTGAATAGGTGGCGTGCAATTAGATGTATAAATAAATTTTAGAACAATGTATTTTCAGTGCTTGCACATTTATTGTAACAGTACAGCAGTTTGAGCAGACTTTTACACTAATACAGCATCAAATTCCTTTTGAGAACTGAAGTGAATTTTGACAATTGGTATGATGTGATATTGTGTTTAGAATTTCTTTGTCAGGCTTCTGAGTGCTACTTCTCTAAAACATTTTTCAGTGACACGGGAAACATTTAAGGTTCCTGGCTAGGAACCACTAACTGTGGCTCAGAGGTCAATGGATGTAGCTTATTTAATGCTGACAGATTTTCAGGGACTGCAAATACCTTTATATTCTGATTATGTTTTTATAATTCAGTTGTCAATCATTTATCAATTAGAGTGGCCTTGGCCAAAGACAAGTTGGCCATTCCTGTACTAAATAATGACTTATTATTATTATTATGTACTAAAGGATAATTTATTATTATATGTGTTTGAGACCTTTGTGTATTTTTCTGTGCTTCAGTAGATAGGACATATCCAAGGATGAGTTAAGATACCATGCTGAGCCATAATGCTTTGTAAATCATGATCTGTGATGTAAAGACCCTAACAAATGTGTCTTGTTCCAGAAATTATAATTAAATTATGATTTAGCACAATGTGTGTATCCAACCATACTCTGTTCTTTTATGACATGACCAGTAACCTTCAGGAAAATAAGAACTATGAGGGTTTTGAGTGTTGTTTCATAAACACTGAAACAACTACTCATACCTGATCCTTTGTCTTATCCTGATTTTTTGAAGATAGGCAATAACTTTTCCTGTAGAGTCAGTAATGTTTGTCTTTGCTATGTTTGTTCCCGAAGCAACATGCTACAATCACCCCTTCTTCCATGCAGTTATTAGAGGAGCACAGAGATGAAGACCGGAGGCAGGAGAATGGTCCCCCCTCTGGAATCTGCTGTCCAAACTCAACAGCTTATCACTTCATGGTAAGGATCACCCTGGGAATAAGCTTATTTGATGTCTGAATTGTTTCTGGTTGCAATAGTGGAGAATATCAGTAGCTCCAGATAGACTTGTTGATATCGTCTGAGCTTGTTTATTTTCTAGTAGACATTTCATTACCAGGCAACCACATCAGTGCACAGATAGTATTTTTGCTTATGCAAATATATTAGAAATCCAGATTTCAGTTTGGATGAGGGTTAGCGCTAAATTATTATGGGCTTTTATGCTTCTGTAAAAGTAAAATGGCTGCATGAGCACTTGCCTCTGACTTTGCTTTCCATACGACCTTTTTTCTAAGAACATTTACATGTTCTTTGATTTGAATTCAATGAGATGCCTGGAAAGTCAGATCTAAGCTGTGCTGGTAGGGGATTTTTAACATAATCTGTGAAAAAGTGTCAGTTTTTAAGATATCATAAGACTTGTTTTTTTTTTTTATTGCAGCAGCCTAACACATATATCCTTCTAGAATTCATGGATTGGGCATCTGTTTCTAGCATGGGTTTTGCTTTGCTTTTAGAACCAGTTATCCATAGTTGGATATAGAACCAATCAGCTGGTACTGATCCATTTTTCATCCCACCTCATAAGTGTGTAAACCTTTGCTATGCTAGCTGAGCAATAGTTCCAGTCAGTGGAAGTTTAGATGATGAAACATTGCATCCTACCACATGATGAATACCTGCTGCTCACACAATACAACAAGCAGCAGTAGAGCATTGCAGATCATAGAAAACTCTGAGGACATCATCTTATTTTCTGTCTCTCCATTTCACAGCTAAATGCAACACAGCTGGTCATACATTGTTTCTGTCCATCAATTGGTCAGACTGCTGCTTATCTTGCTTCTGCCCTTCCTGGTGAGCAAGGGGCTTACTTCTCTGATCCACAGTTTGGCTGCGAAGTCAAACTGGGAGAGAAGTGGGTCGATTGGCACTCAGCCTCACAAACGGCAGTGTGTTATCAAGGATAAATTTGTCGGTCTAACCTCCGGGTCATAAATCCAGTCCAAGTTCAGAATGCAAAACGAACTTCTCAGGAGGAACAGCATCTGAAAGAATAAATAAATAGAGAGGCCAAGAGACAAGCTGCAATCAAATGGCTAAGGCTTTTGTTTTTAGCAAGGACTCGGTGCAACTGAGAGTCAAGACTGGCTTCCAGGGCTGCAGCAGCAAAGTTGAAAGTCAACTTTGCCATTCTCAGATTGCTCCCTAAATGCCAAAGATCTCTGGCCCTGCCCAAGCATAGCGGGTTACAGGTAGCCCTAGACTTATTTATTTATTTATTTATTTATTTTTTCATATTTGTATACCGCCCTACTCCCGAAGGACTCAGGGCGGTGAACAGCCATAATAAATACAAATACATATAGAAGTTAAAAACTATTAAAAACAGATTAAGTAATTTGGCTCAAAGATTAAAACATCCAAATTTATCTAAAAGAGGTCTAAACCCAATTTAAAAGCCAATTTAAAAAGCCAATTTAAAAAGGGAGAGTTAGGTCAGACCAGCTTGTTGGAATAGAAATGTTTTCAGGGCTCGGCGGAAAATGCGTAAGTCTTGGATGTTTCGTAACTCCGGGGGAAGCCCGTTCCAGATGGCAGGTGCCCCCACAGAAAAGGCTCTCCCCCTGGGGGCCATCAGTCGACATTGTTTGGCCGACGGCACCCTGAGGAGTCCCTCTCTATGGGAGCGAACTGGTCGGTGAGAGGCTATTGGTGGCAGGAGGCAGTCTCGTAAGTACCCTGGTTCTGAGCCATGGAGTGCTCTAAAGATAGTAACCAAAACCTTGAAGCGCACCCGGAAGACCACCGGGAGCCAGTGCAGCTCGCGCAGGAGGGGGGTTACATGAGAGCGCCACATTGCTCCCATCACCACCCGCGCGGCCGCATTCTGGACCAGTTGGAGCCTCCGGGTGCTTCTCAAGGGGAGCCCCATGTAGAGAGCATTACAGTAATCCAGGCGTGAGATGACAAGGGCGTGAGTGACCGTGTGTAACGAGTCCCGATCCAGAAAGGGACGCAACTGGCGAATCAGCGAACCTGATAAAAAGTCCTCCTGGCCATGGCCGTCATATGCTCTTCTAAAGACAGCCGTGAGTCCAGGAGGATGCCCAAGTTGCGAACCCCATCTGTGGGGGCCAGCGACTTGCCCCCAATAGTCAGAGATGGCGTCAACTGACTATATCGGGACGACGGAAACCACAGCCACTCGGTCTTGGATGGGTTGAGTCTGAGTTTGTTCCTCCCCATCCAGATCCGTACGGCCTCCAGGCACCGGGACATCACCTCGAGGGCATCATTTGGGGTGGTCTGGGGTGGAGATGTACAGCTGGGTGTCATCAGCGTACTGATGGTACTTCACCCCAAAACCACGGACGATCTCACCTAGCGGCTTCACATAAATGTTGAATAGAAGGGGCGAGAGGACCGATCCTTGTGGCACCCCACATATAAGGGGCCTCGGGGTCGACCTCTGCCCCCCTGTCAACACAGACTGCGACCGGTCAGAGAGAAAGGAGGAGAACCACTGTAGAACAGTGCCCCCCACCCCCAACCCTTCCAACCGGTGCAGCATGATATCATGATCGATGGTATCAAAAGCCGCTGAGAGGTCTAGTAGGACCAGGACAGAGGAGCAACCCCTGTCCCGAGCCCTCCAGAGATCATCAACCAACTTATGACCACAGTTGAGCTCAACATTTCCATTGCTAAGCGAGACAATTGTTTTGCCCCATTTTACGATCCCATTTGCCATAGTTGTTAAGTAAATCTGGCAACAAAGATGATCAGGGGACTGGAGGCTAAAACGTATAAAGAACGGTTTCTGGAATTGGGTATGTCTATAGTTTGATGAAAAGAAGGACTAGGGGTGACATGAATAGCAGTGTTCTTCCTATATCTCAGGGGCTGCCACAAAGACGAGGGAGTCAAGCTATTTTCCAAAGCACCTGAGGGCAGGACAAGAAGCAATGGGTGGAAACTAATCAAGGAGAGAAGCAACTTAGAACTAAGGAGAGATTTCCTGACAGTTAGAACAATTAACCAGTGAAACAACTTGACTCCAGAAGTTGTGAATGCTCCAACACTGGAAGTTTATAAGATGTTTGACAACCATTTGTCTGAAATGTTGTAGGGTTTCCTGCCTGAGCAGGGGGTTGGACTAGAAGACCTCCAAGGTACCTTACAACTCTGTTATTCTATTCTATTCTATTCTATTCTATTCTTTCTGTTCTGTTCTATTCTGTTCTGTTCTATTCTATTCTATTCTATTCTATTCTATTATTCTATTCTATTCTATTCTATTCTATTCTATTCTATTCTATTCTATTCTTCTATTCTATTGTCTGAATCATTGCAGTTAAGTTAGTAATACAATTGTGAAGTGAATCTAGCTTCCTGATTGATTTTGCTTGTCAGAAAGTCACAAATGGTGATCATGTGGCCCTGGGACACTGCAACATTCATAGATAAATGCCAGTTGCCACAAGGCAAGTGCCAAGTGTGAAGAATAGTTAGAAGTTGCTTTTTTCAGTGTTGTAATTTTGAATGGTCATTAAAAATGGTTGTAAATTGACTACTTGTATTCCTGAACAGACCTTTTGAATTAAGCAGTTTCTCGGCATAGCCAAGTACTCTGATGCTTCTCATGGTCCCGATTGTTCATCCACAGACAGTGGTGGTTTTCAAGACTGGATGGAGGAGGTATAGATCAGCTCCTGGTTTAGGTCAAATAGCAATAGTAATAGCACTTAGAGTTAGATACCACTTCACAGTGTTTTACAGCCCTCTCTAAGCAGTTTACAGAGTCAAGCATATTGCCCCCAACAATCTGGGACCTCATTTTACCAACCTCGGAAGGATGGAAGGCTGAGTCAACCTTGAGCTTGGTGAGATTCGAACTGCCAAATTGCAGGCAGCAGAAGTAGCCTGCAGTACTGCATTCTAACCACTGCGCCACCACAGCTCTTCAAATGTTGATTCTCTCCTGGTTTAGGCCAGTGTCTGTTGGATTCAGAGCACTGCTATAGGTGCACCTTTATATATAAGCACCATAACTATATTGAAAGATGAAATAATATTGATAAGTTTTTCCGCACTTCTTCATTGCACTGTGATATAATATAGAGGCCTTGTCTTCCCAGATATTTGGTTCTGATTATTCCTGGTGATGTTTGAAAGCAACCACAATTACTATTATCTTTGGGGGACTTTTGTGTGTGTGTGACTCACTTGTCCACCATTTGCCGATCATGTTCCAGTTAACCATTATGCCAGCTTGTGGTTGATATGAGAAGTCATCAGAACATTGAGTTTTATTGAAGACTGAGAGAAGGAAATTTTGCTTCTGGTAAGCTACCAGCTGTGGTCATGGTTTCACAGCAAGCTGCCAGGTGAGTCAATGGACTTCCTGGAGCAGATGATGATGTGTATTATTAACATGTCTTGGCATTATGCCTTCCCCTTGGTGCAGAAGTAATTAGAACTGTAGCTGAAAGGACAGCTTTTCCTTTTTGAAAAAAAAAATGAAGAGTCTCAGAGAAAGAGAGATCCTTTTGCTAGTTTGGAAATTTTCTTTGATGAAAAACTATGAAATGATGTCATGCTTCATTCCAAAGTACCACCTGGTCCTCAATTGTTAATACTGGCATTAAATGTTATACTGAAACGGAGTTACTTTCTGTGCAGCTCCATACATTTACATGCTTGTAAGGTCACAAATCCAGCTTTCATCTTTTATGTGGGTTACAAAGGATCAGCAGCAGTGGTGTCTGAATCAGTTTGGGGATTAAAATGCCAACTATGTATCTGAGTACAATGGTCGTATTCCAAAGGGTAGTTAGGCATCAACATAGCCTTCATGACACACAGATTCAAGGCATACTATTGCCAGTGTTGTTCCACAAAGAATCTCTCCTCTGGAGAGTTTTAAATATCCTAGGTTCCTTTACTCCTCACCCAACATCTGAAAACCTTTGATT